CAGTGATTTGTCATGTCATCGTCGAATAGACTTTTCAAAGTCCTTCAAATAGTGATTGAAGTCTGAAATCGAATAGGCTTTTCACCATGGAATCTAGGCTCTCCAAAGGTCCCACGATGTAGGCTTTTCAAATGATTCTCGAGTAGACTTTCCAGAGCATTTACAACACAATACAACGACTAGCAAACCTGCCTCCGCCTATATATATATATATATATATATACGTTCTAGGATGCATTGCTAACCAAAAGTAAAACCAAACCAAGATTCGGTTTCATTGGAGTAGGAATGTCCGGAGGGTCATCTAGAGGAAAGGGTTTCGGGAGTGGGAGAGGAAAGGGGATTTAGGGAACTCCCATTGTGTGGGAGTGGTCTCTTGGGCCTGATTTCTTTGAGGAACCAGTGTATCAGTTTCCCCCCGAGAGTAAGAGTGATTTCACTAAAGAGTGCCCTCTCAGAGGATACGATATAGGAAGGAAGATTGGCCAAAATGCATGCATGGTGAGGACTACTTAGTGCAGATGTTCACCGAGGGGATCTACGGAGGTCGTCGCTTCTTCAAATGCCCGCGAGCATGGTTAATTGCTATTACATTTCGTTTGTTAAATATATTTCTTGAATACCCTTACAACTCACAGGACATACTTATTGTAGTCTTCTGAGTCCGAAGAAAATTGTGGGTTCACTAGGTGGGTTGATCCTCGACCAATTTATCCGCATCAGCAGTACATCTACTACCTATAGGACCAAATCTTCGATCTACAAAGGGAAGTTAGCAGTGGGTACAAGGAAGACAAAGACGACGACAACAACAATGGTGTAAGTTCACAGGAGGCACTCAGTAATGATCCATATTGCACCCGCCTCTAATCACAAGAACAAGGGGCCTCTACTGTCACCCCCCCACCACCACCAACAACAATGGGAGGCTATCAGGAGAAGGTGCAACACAATTTGTTATGTGCCACACTACTAGGACGACCCTATCTTATTCACATGGCACATCCATGTGTTTGTTGTTTGGTTTAATTACCTAAGGCATGTTAGGTTTAGTCGAAGAAACTATGTACCCTTGTTTGGTACATGTTCTCACATGCCATTCTTGTGCTTGTTGTTCGCTTCAATTACCTAAGACATGTTAGGTTTAGTTTAGGACCTCTGTACCCTAGTTCGGTACATGTTCTCATATGCCATTTCATGTGTTTTGTGTGTTGAATTATATAATGCCCTACTTCATTAGGCTTTGTTTGCAGCACGTGATCACATTTCACTACGTCCACAATATTAAACTGAATATTATGACCACAAATAATGAAAACAACTACATAATAAAAAGTCAAATACTATGACACATTAAACAACACAATAATACTAGAAGTATGTGTCGACAAACTAAATAACACAGTACATGACCTAAGCATACCCATACTTAAAGTGCATTACATGACAATACAATGAAAAGTCCAACAGTAGACAACAATGTTCATGAATAAACCATAGAACTAGCAAGTAATGGAGACTACTGAATGCAATGAGGCCACTTTCTCTTCCTCAGGGCATTGGGATTCTCCTCCATCGCTGCTTTTGCTCGGCGTGCACGCTCAAGCTTCTTCTCCCTCTCCTCCCTGTACGCAGCAACACGCCTCCTCTCCATGTATCTTCTCCATCATCTCCTTGTCCTCTACCTCCCACCGCAACAGTTTCTACATCCATTCCTTGTTTTCAGGCTTGATCTCAGTGTCGATCCACTGCTCAAAATCATAGAGAGGTGGAGGGGTCTGCAAAAAATGCAAATGTTACAAAACAAAAAAATCATGCAAGATGTCATATGACAAAAACATCAATTCCTCACCATCTTGTTAATGCGGACTTGGCTACCTTGTAAGGATCACCGCAAAAGCACATGGGCACTAGAACACCACTAGGCAGAGGCAATAGGTCGAAGGCATTTTCGGTCATCCGGCCATAACTATAATTTAACCATTTTCGTTCTAAAAACCAAAAGCAATTAACATTAAACCCTACACCTAGGGTTTCCCATTTGATCCACAATAATGAACCCATATCATAACAACGTGCGCTGATGTTACATTGGTTTGGTAGCTTTTCCACGCCTTGGCATCCTACGGTTGTATAATATAAATATTAAAATTACATGAAACCCTAAGTAATGACGATTATTAAGTTGAAAAATCCGACTAATATATACCGAATCGATTTGAAAAAAAAACTAGGAGGGAGCGAGGATACCTTGCTCTCGAAGATCTATGGATCAAATGAAAGTTTCCAAGGTCCAATATACCGATTCGTGAGGTATTGCGAAGTGGAGAGAGAAAAACCCCGAGAGGGAGGAGAAAGAAGAGGAAGAAGGCTCGGACAGGAAGGTTGGACGCCGGGTTAAAACACCACCTTGGCGCCATAGATCTTGGCGCCGTTCTCGGCGCCAATAACCACGGCGCCAAGCTTGGCTCCAATAACCACGGCGCCAAGCTCGGCGCCAAGATCTACGGCACCAAGCTCGGCACCAAGGTGCCTGCCAAGTCACCGCCATGTCTACAACGAGCCCAAGACCTAGACGCCAAAATCTATGGCGCCGAGACGTGTAAGCTCAACACCAATTACTTCGGCGCCGAGCTAAGGGTCCAGATTTTGAAATCATACCTCCAGGGGCATATTTGTGAAAAACTTTCAAAAAAGGGCTAAAAACAAAAAATTCGGGAGGGGGCAGAAACAACGTGTCACAAAAGTATGTGTAGTGACAAATCACAAATGTCGGCACATCTTTAAATTTGGTGACCACGACGTTGTAGCTCTCAACTCAAGCCACACCGGCCTCTTCCAATTTGCCCATTTGTCAATCGAGTCAATCGGGGGATGATTGAGGCGATTAATCACCTACTCCCCCGGTGTCATAATAAATGCACTTCAAGAGTTTAAAATTTATCCAAAAATAAGTGCACCTCTTCCAATTTGCCCATTTGTCAATCAAGTCAATCGGGGGATGATTGAGGCAATTAATCACCTACTCCCCCGGTCTCATAATAAATGCACTTCAAAAGTTTAAAATTTGTCCTAAAATAAGTGCACCTCTAGATATAAGACAAACTAACTTCACTTGTCTTTTTCTAGTTTATCTCTTCCCGAGATGTAATGATTACACTTTTATAGAGGCATATATGTAATTTCTCACTAAGGCCAGTCTCAGTGGGGTTTCATCAGAGTTTTATGGGCATTAAATAGGCTAATGTGGCACCGTATTGATGAAGAGAGAGATGATAAGAGTTTCATATAAGTAGAGAGATTTCATGGGGATGAAACTCTTCTACACTATTTCCAAAATATGGATGCATTGGTAACAGGGTCATGAAATCCCCACTGAGACTGGCCTAACATTGATCTCTTCATCTAAACTCTAGAAGTACATTTATTTTGGGACGGAGGGAGTACGTATTTTGAGGGTTTTGTTTTCTTTGTTTTTTTTCCTTCTTTTGGTCTAGAGGCTACTTCTGGTAGTAACTTTCATCGGACATGCCTATTGTTGTTCTTCCATATTATCCTTTTGGTGCTTATTCGTTGTTATTTACTTCTTTCTATTGAAAGACTCTTTCCTATGGTTTTGTCAGGTTTCTCCATTGGCCCTCCCAGACATTTATATATGAGAACGGCTTCTAAAATCAAAATAAAGCTACAAAGGGTGAAGCTGAAGCTGAAGCAACTAAAACATGGATTTCTCTAGCTTCATTATTTTTGTAGAAACCCAAACTCTGCCAAAAAGGACATAAATATACTCCATCCATGCTAAAAAATGAAGTCGTTTTAGACAAGATTTGGGTTAAACATTGGGAATATAAATCATGAATAACTTTTGAGTTGTTGAGTTTGAAAATGTAAAAACCATATGTATAGATTTGTCTTGAAAAATACTTTCACAAAAATTTACATATATCACTTTTTGATAAATATCTTTATAAAAATAAGTAATCAAAATTATACTTTGGAGACCGTGTCACTGTCCAAAACGACTTTATTTTTTAGTATGGAAGGTGTACTATGTTTACAACAAGATAACTAATTCAAGATAATCTAATGAGTTTTTCAGATATCCTATACTCCATACGTTCTAAATTATAGGCTTTCACTATTTTGAATTTGTGCTTTGTTCTCAAAAGAAGTTTAGCTTTTTGCTAGTTTTTGTTTTTTAGCCAGAGGCTGAAACTTTTAATTATGTTTGGTTGAGTGCACGACTCAAGCAGAGGCCAGAATAAAGACTGTTCCTTTTTCTAAAAAAAATGTTCTTCTTGGTTTTGTCCTAAATCAGTTTTCTTCAACTTCAATTAAGTTTGTAGGAAATGCACCATCATTTAGAACATCAAATTTGTTTTATTAAATTCTTAAAATAGAGATGTCCATTTTTCCAAATTCTCAGTTCCAATTTATTTATATTAAAGAAAAACGAATATGCTGAGAACTAGACCCTTCCATATATCTTTATATAAGTAGAAATATATAAATGTATATTTGCTGTTGCTTCAGAAATACAGTCACAATGGGCTGGTTTGAATGCCTAAAATGAAGGAATTTGAAAAATTGGAAGAAGAAAAAAGAGGAGACTGACTACACATCTTGTGGAGGATTTTGCTGTTTGTTATCTTCCACTTTTTCAACAAATCATAATTTGACACGTCTCATGGTACAACAAAGCAAAAACATAAAAAAAAACACCTTTACGTCACATGCCTCGAAGATTTTTATGGTACTTCGCCCTGTTCATTTGGTCTGGTTTGGCTTATAAGCCATGGCTGAAAGTACTATTAGCTGGTTTGATGTGAGAGAAATACTGTTCGTTGACTAATAAGCCATGGCTTATAAGCCAGATACGAGCAAGCGAACAGGATAAAGAATGCTTGACGGAGAAGAAAGAAAATACCTGATGCCTTAAAAAAACAAAAAACGCGGCAACGTAGATGGCCACGGCTGCGGCGGCATAGCAGATAGAGACGATGAGGACCATAGCAACAGCAAGACCAAACTTGAAATTAACACCCAGATCCGAAGCAAAAGAACAAGATGCAACACAGGTAAACAATCAAACCAGTCCACCCCAAAGCACCTTCAACTGAAATTTGTTTTTCTGCATAGATCTGCATCTAATTTTGCTACAAATTACTAAAAAGACAAAAACATGTATTAGATAAGCTGAAATTGCTTCTCTAGATCATAAAAGGATGTCTACATACCACAAGATTTGCGTGCTCCTAAAACTGCTTTAACTGCTAAAAAAACAAAAAAAAGTGAGCTGGAGCCCCTTCTCCTTATACAAATCGATGAAAATAACATGCACCTGGGCAATGTCTACTATATAAAATGCTGATGCACTGAACATTAGAGGAAAAAATGACAAGATACTTAAAACAAAATGACTGAAATACTAAACACAACCAGAACTTATACTGAAATAGATTCTACTAGGCTAAAACTAAATTATTTAAAAAGCAAAAATAATAATCAGATTTCTCAGCTCAAATAGAACATACACATAGTTCAGGTTGAGCATTCATAGCATTTTTCTAAAAGTAAAAATAATTCAGAGTCGAGGAAAAAATATACCTACTAGTAGTGCTCTATTAACCAAGTCGTAGTGAATATTGCACTGTAAAAGTATTACAAACTAATCAAAGGAATCTACAGATATTTACTGACTTCATACTCATTGATGATAAAGTTTCCACACATAAGTCCATACCTAAATGATACATGAACCTTTAAAATATGTAGAAGGTTTACTGTCATCAATGCAAGAAAACGAGAAAGAGAGGAGCCTGCCACTGACCAGAAAGCTGTGTCCTCACACAGTAGCTTAAGTTCAACACACTTGGGGTATCTGAAAATTAAAACAACAAAGCATAAGCAATGACTTGAAGAAACCAACATGCCTAGTACATGCTACTTCCAAACTATAACTCTGCTTTTGCAGCCGTATATCACAACAATGAACAATCAGAACCACCCAGGTTATGCTTCAATGTCCTAACTACAAGCAAATGAGAGCTAAAATACTCAATTTCTATAATTTACTACTAAATAGCGTCACAACAAAGTTGCGTCAAGTGTCAATTCCCATTAATAGATAGACAAGTGTAGGGCGTCAAAGCAAAACGCAGTAGGGAAAGCTCGACAGCAAATCACTGGTGGAGACAGAAAGCCATATGTGCCAAGCAAAGTGCAACGGGAAAAACTCAACAGCAGATCACTGGTGAAGACAGAGGAAGCAATATGTTACATGCAGGAGAGAAAAACGCAGTAGAGCTGAGCGGGCTTGCCACAACGAGCGCAGGGGGCGACGCCCTTTTAGAAAAAAGATCATCAACTCAAAAAATGAAATACTATACAAATTAATAACACAATTATCAAGTAAAGAACAATTTAGAATATGCATGAGTAACTGATATCCAATACTGAGCATTTTCTCATACTAAAAACAAAAACGAAAATACAAATTGAAAATGAAAACTGAAATTGCAAGTGCTGAAAGTACTACCTGAAATTAGAAAATGAAATTAAAAACTGAAATTTGCGAACTGTAATTGAAGACTGAAATTGTAAAGATAACATACAGGAGTCTGAAATAGCTAATACTTAAATTATAAACTGAAATAAACCTGAACCTGAACAAAACTGAAACTGAAAACTAAACTTAAATAAGACTGAACCTGAACCTATAACCTGAATATGACTAAAACTGAAAACTGCAATTAAATTAGACTGAACCTGAACCTATAATGAAACCTATTAGAAAATGATAACACAAATGAAATTAAAAACTGAAATTGCTAACTGCAGTTGAAGACTGAAAAACATACTGAAAACAATACAGTGAGAGGAACACTTCAAGATACAGCCATATACACAGACTAGAAAGCAGAAAAAACTGCTAGTGAGCAATCCAGAATAGTATTTCAGGAAATTTCATTAGTTCTTGTTGTGTGCATACTAAATTTTGCAGGTTCATCAGATAAACTCCAGCCGACCAAGAAGACCAACCAAGAAGGTGAGTTGTTATTAGTACTAGTACTAATAGTACTGTAGCAGATAATGATAGCTGCTCAGTAGACTGGACGGACGTACTGAAACTGAAGCAGAAGCCGGACAGACATACTGAAACTGAATAGAGCCGGAGAAGCTGCTAATTGGACCAGGACAGCCGGGCTTAAGCACACAGTCGTGTGTGATGTGGCACTAACAGAGTGAACAATCCATGCCGTCCGGTCAGTCAGTCCAGTGGGTCGGCAGGTTTCCAAACGAAATTAATTAGAGCTAGACATGCTCCTACTACTCTCTGCAGGACCAATACTGATGTCCTAAAACTAGATAGCACCAAGATAAAGAATTATAGAGGATGTACAACTAGTTATGAGTAAACTGAACAAACACAAGCAGCCTAGAACGTTTCAGGAGCAGTTAGTTCGATGCCATGGCCGGATTGGACGAACAACCTAAGCATGCATAGACCGGCCCTGCTACTCATAGTAGTTGTACTACATTACTAAATATGTGTACACATTCTATAAGCAAAACAAAACTAATCACTAGAAATGGCAAACGCTGGACCAAAAAAGCATTATTTCTCAAGTATAGCATTTTATAGCTAGCAAATGGACAAGCTAAAGGAGACGCCAAAAGATACTTCAATGACACGAACAACAACAACAACAACAACAACATAGACTTCCAGTCCCAAGAAAGTTGGGGTAGGCTAGAGTTGAAACCCATCAAGAGCCCCAAGTCACGGTTCAGGCACTTCAATAGCTGCTTTCCAAGTACTCCAATGACACGAAGATGCTCACATATTGGAAGGTGAAAGTAACTGTTGCACCAAAACATGCTAAATGCAAATCCATCCACACCCTATTCTGATGTCTCAAAAGTCAAAATTGGAAAAATAAATAAAAAATAAAGCGACACAAGGTTACAAGCAGAAATGGATGGCAAATCTTCAGTGAATTTGAATAAAATCCATAGGTCGATAATGCCTACATGAGACACTAGTACCTACAGCCAGAACCACCCGGGTCTAACAATGTGCCTCAACCCTACTGAATATGCAGTCCCAGGAGCAAAACAGCAAGAGATTATGTCAGTGGACAGAAGAACATTGGGAGTCATACATCAGACAGTCTGTCCAGTTTAGCAGCATGAATCAATCATTGTCGAGTTCTTCACCTGTTCAGCAACCCCAACGGCCACATCAGATGTCAGAGTCGTTACACATGTTTGGGAATCCACACCATTCTCAGATCCAGGGAACTAATTCAAGCTCACAACAGCAGGCATATGCTGTGCACTTGGCTAAAGAAAGACAAATGCAACAGCATATGGCACCTCAACAGCATAGTGATCTTTCTGGAGCTAGTGCACTACCCAATGTGCAGAATAGTACTCAAATATTGCAGCAGAACCAAGCCTCGTCTGCCAATCCAGTCCCTTGTTCAAAACCACAACATCAGCGACAGCAAGCAACACGGCACGAACTGAAGGAGCAGGGGAGAGGCTTCCTGACGAGCGCAACATCCGAATCAGGGATCGACATTGGAGGGGCGGAGGTTGCGGAGCACCTTGCCGAGCTTGCCCCGGCCAAGCACGCAACCATTCCTCGTCTCTCTCCCACTCTGGCACCCTGCGGTCTGTGCGAGCGTGAGCGAGGAAGCCCGCAGCCGTCTCCCTTCCCTCCCGAGTCCCGACGCGTGCGCGACCAAGGCTTCCCGACGCCTGGCCACCGGCGCCTCACCGGCTCACCCCACCGGCCTCCCCCGTGGCCCCGCCCGGCGCTAGCCGCCAGCCCCATCCCGCCGGCCACCGGGGCAGCAGCGCGCGACCAGCACCTCGTCTCTCCGACTCTCGCTCTCCCAGTCCGGCGCGCGGCTAGCAGCGGGCCGGGCCGGCCGATGCAGGCGCGCAGCGGGCGTCCGCCCGCGTCCCCAGGTGGCCTCTGTCTGGCCTGGACGCCTGGCGATTTCTCCCAAATCCGAGAAAGCCGTGGACTGACACAACCACAATACAAATCAAATCAAAACACAAGAGAACAGAACGGCACCGTGGGGAACGTCGCTGCCGCCGCCGCCTCGAACAACACCGCCATTGCCGCCTCGAACAACACCGCCGTCGCCGCTGCCTCCTCCGACAAAGCCGCCGCCGCCGAAGACAAAGCTGCGGCCACCGTAGACAACGCGACCAACACCGACGCCGCCGCCGCTGGTAAGGCCACGGGCACCGCCGGCGGCGGCGGCGGCAAGGCCACGACAACTGCCATAACACGAAACTGAAAAGGGTAAGAAGCAGCGGGATAATTTTTTTTCAATACAAAAAGCAGCGGGATAATGGAGCGACAACCACAAAAGGACCATAAAACTGACAGCAAGATGAGCACGAATCTTAACAACATCTGGACCATACAAAAAGTAGAAGATAACAAAAACAATAATCTCCTTGAAGATATTTAGAAATCCCGAAAAAGAGTGAGTACGGACGTTGGAGAATAGGCCTGTCTATATGTTGTTGGGCCTTCTCGAAGTGGTACAATCATCTGAGAAAGGTAGCAAATCGGCAGGGCCCGGCCCAGTTGCAGCCTCGTATTCCTTGCTCCTGGACTTGCTAAGAGCGTCTCCAATATTTCTCAAAAATTGGTAAGTCAATGAGTTTTCCAAGCGACTAAAAAAAAGTTAGAAGTATATGTATTGAGCTTCTTCAATAGTATATTTATTGAGCTTCTCCAAAAGTTAGAAGCATATTTATTGGTAAATATAGAAAATAATTTTGCATCAGAAATACTACTTATTCCAAACCACCCTAACCGCTTTTATAATTTCTTTTTTTCTTTTACATTTGCATTAGGAACTATATCTTACTCCTTATTCTTCCCCACACATCCTTCCACCTTCATATTGGCAATTGTTACGCGCGCGTATATTTCCACGTGACTAGGTCGATTTTCTTAAGTGCGGAAAGATTGGGAGTTAAGATAGGGGGTTTTTTAGACCAATTTTTTTTTCAATCCTACCAAAAACTCAAGAATGGGAGTGGGTTTTAGAAACTCTTGGAGATGCTCTAAAGCCCTGTCTAGGTCATCAGTTCAGCCACTAATCTTTAGTGTTTTTAGGCTCCAAACAAGCCGCCACTCTAAAATGTTGTCTTTAGTCAATATTACAAGAAAACCATTACTTTATTAGGCTAGATAATAAGCGTGCTAAAGTGGTATAAAGTTTAGTAGCTAGCCAACTAAAAAACTTTAGTAGACTGGCCGTAATCTTCTACAACTAAAAAAATTAAAAGTAAGACTATTTTTTATGCGACTTTTTTTGGGTCGCTCCTCTCTTCCGGCCATGCGATACCCCGCGCGATAGAAAAAGAAATTGCCATCCCTGCGATCCCCGCCAGCTTTGAAGAAAACAAATCGATTACCTGAGGCCACATGCATGGAAGGAAACAATTGGCAAAGATCAAGCAAGACTCATCCCTTCCGGCCATGCGATACCCCTTGCGATAAAAAAAGAAACAGCCATCCCTGCGATCCCTACCTGCTTTGAAGGAAACAAATCGATCACCTGAGGCCACATGCATGGAAGAAAACAATAATCATGCATGGAAGGAAACAATTGGCAAATATCAAGTAAGACAACTCAATGAGGTTGGCCCTTAATTTTAGTGTTTTCAGCATGCAGACCTGAAATTAAAAAGTGGCTGCTCCTTAAGAACATCAGTGGTGCCAAATAAAAGATGTGCAGGTTATACATGGTGAGACTAGTGAACCTTCTGCAATTTCTTAAACGAATATTCCCACCATTCGTATATAGGTCCATTCCCCTGCGTTTCTTTATGCTCCAATTAGCATATAATATAAAAGTATTGTTGTGTTCATCACGACTTCTAGTTGACTACTCCTATTAGCATATACTTCCTTTACCTCAAAATATAAGTCGTTATGGGATGTGTGCATGTTAAACTTTCTCAACTTTGACTAGGTTTATAAAAAATATGTACAACATTTATATCTCTAAATAAGTTTATTATGACAATATATTCAATGGTCTATGTAATGATACTAATTATGTATTATAAATATTAATATTCTTTTATATATAATTGGTCGAAGTTAAAAAAATTAACTTCTTGGGAAGCTAGAATGAATTCTATTTTGGGACAGAGGGAGTATATGAAAGCAGTGTTGAAAATATTTTAACAATCAAGTTCGTCTCTGTCTGATTGGTAAGCTTAGACATTATAATGGCATCAAAATTTTTGACTCTTATGGGCACCCTCATGAATCAGTGCAAAGCATCTCAATTCTGCAGCATACACAAATGACAGCCTTAAAGTTTTTATATTTTCAAAGGGTGGACAATAAATACCATCTTAGATGTTTTGGCATTAGAGTATATATGTGTAGACACATAGGCATGGTGGTGCAAGTGAGCAGCCAGCAGGAGTCGAGAGTTAGGGGGTGTTTAGATCCCAGGACTAAATTTTAGTCTATGTTACATTGAATTTTTAGATATCAATTAGGAGGATTAAACATGAGCTAATTATAAAACTAATTACATAAGTTGTGGCTAATTCGCTTGCCAGCGCCGTGTACAGGATGGTATGGAGATGTGGTGGAACTTATTCGTGGATTTGTTGGCGCACGAAAGAAATGAATATCGGAAATCTCTTCATACCGGTATAAAAAATGATCTTAGCCGCATCACGAAAAGATCTACACAGTAGAGTTTGTGAGCCTGCGACTCCATGCTCTCTGTGACTGTGTAAATTTCACGAACTTAGCTTTTTGGATTAAATGTCACTTTAACGTCGGTCATATACTTTTACAGTATTGTTATCTTATTGTGTGATCCGTGTGTTTTTAGTATAAAAGTTTAGCTGTCCTGTAGCAACGCATGAGCACGAACCTATTTACATATATACTCGAACCTGTGTGTACTTGATTATATGGAGATACAGTAGAACTTATTTATAGATTTATTGGCGCATGAAAGAAATAGATATCGTAGAATTCTTTCTGCCGATATAAAATATTATCTTAGCCGTATCACGAAAAAGTCTATATAATAGAGTTTGTGAGCCTACGACATCGCGCTCTCCGTGACTGTGTTAATTTCACAAACTTTGCTTTTTGAATTAAATGATACTTTGACGTCGATATTTAATTTAATAATATTGTTATCTTATCATGCGATCTATATATTTTTAATATAAATAATTTAATTATTTCATAGCAACGCACGAACAAATACCTAGTAAAATATAAAAGGATGAATTCTCGCGTGCGTGTGGTGATTTGCAACTTGCAAGGTGTATAAGAGATATATAGAATGCGAGGACAGAGTGTACTGTCCGAAAGCGTTAGCATGTATGGTACGGTGTATCCGGTCGATCGGTGTCGTCACGGTACGTACGTACAGTATATATATTCATGCATCATGCATGAGCACTGTTTATATCTTAACATCTGTACGCGCATAAACGATCATAAATTCAATGCATTTAGGGAATGTTCAGATCCGGTGACTAAAGTTTATGAGATGTTAGATAGGGTGTCGTATATGGTGTTCGTATACTAATAAAAGAATAAATTATATAATGCATTAGTAATCCACGAGATGAATTTATTAAGCCTAATTAATCCGTCATTAGCACATGTTTACTTTAGCATCATATTATCAAATTATGAACTAATCAGACTTAAAAATTTTGTCTCGCAAAACCGTCTCGATCTGTGCATTTAGTTTCGTAAATAGTCTATATTTAATACTTCATTTATGTGTCAAACATCCAATGGAACAAAGGTGGAACCAAACATCCCCTTATATTTAATACTCCATATATATACTGTTTTGCTATAATATACCTGGGTACATCAAAGCACCCAGGCTGGCGGGCGCGCCAACTTGGAGTAACCAGCGCGCCCAAGCTAATACATGCATGCATGCAATTTTTTGTTGGTTCGAATCTTTGAAACAAATTTTCTCCTAAACCGTAACCCCGAGCGATAAACCGTTTGTTGTATCCGATTCAAAAAAATAATCTGAGCAAAATTAGATCCAATATGGATATATTTTTTATCCTTTAAACGAGTTGCATATCAATGTACTACCAATTGCAACTCCGTCTACCACCTAGTTGCAACTACTAGATTATAATTAGTTGCAACCAGTGCTAAATACGTTACAGCCAAGTTGTAATTATGTTGTAGAAGTGCTTGCAAATCATAGTACAACATATTGCAATTACGTATTTAAAAAAAACTTCATCAAATACATCCTTCATTGCAACCAGTGCTAAATATGCTACAGCCAAGTTGTAATTGTGTTGTAGAAGTGCTTGCAACTCATAGTATAACATATTGTAATTACGTATTTGAAAAAAAAAACTTCACAAATCTGACCTTTATTGCAACCAAAGGTTAAATACGCTACAGCCAAGTTGTAATTGTGTTGTAGAAGTGCTTGCAACTCATAGTACAACATATTGCAATTACGTATTTGAAAAAAAAACTTCATCAAATACAGCTTTCATTGCAACCAGAGCTAAATACGCTATAGCCAAGTTGTAATTTGCTTGCAACTCATAGTATAACATATTGCAATTACGTATTTGAAAAAAACTTCATCAAATACAGCCTTCATGGATCTCGCTTTGTTAAGCATATTTTTTCAACAACCTACTTCAAATGTAACTAAAATCGGATATATGGTTTACAAGATATCGATTTTTTCGCTTTGGAATCAACAAAAGATTCCTCGCACGCATGCTTCCCGGTGGGTGCGTTGAGCGTTAGGTGGCATCACATAGTTGGTTGTCTTCATTTAGTTTTGCATGCGGAGCGTGGACTTACCTCGCTGCTTGCCGCCATGGCTTTCGGCGCGTCTCGCGTCATTCAGCTGGCGTGTCGGGTGCACTCGCTTCACGTAATGCACCCAGTGCATTATAGCCTCGTCTCTGTCAGTAATACACCGGGTACATCGTATATAGAATGCACCCAAAGCCGGCGGCGCGCCAACTTGAGCAACCAACGCGCCTAAGCGAATACATGCATGCATGCAATTTTTTGTTGGTTCGAATCTTTGAAACAAATTTTCTTCTAAACCGTAACCCCGAGCGACAAATCGTTTGTTTTATCCGATTCAAAAAAATATTCTGAGCAAAACTAGATCCAATATGGATATATTTTTTATCCTTTAAACGAGTTGCATATCAATGTACTACCAATTGCAACTCCGTCTACCACCTAGTTGCAACTACTAGATTATAATTAGTTGGAACCAGT